TAAATATTTGCTACATGGACGGTGCATGGAGAAATGAACAACGCTGGATTAAAGAAAGTTTGCCACTTACTAAAAAAGTTTGGAAAACATGTTTATTGAATAAATGTGTATATTGACTAATAAATAGCTCCATAATATCTGCACAATGACTTAAAATATTTGTTAGAGAACAGCTTTCAATATACCTAGTCAGCAAGTCCAACTGAACTCTGAGAATTGTCAGCCAAACACATCTGGAGTTGGAAAATGTTCTTAGGGATGTGTATCTGTATGTAAAAAATGGAGGCGTAATGCCAAGAGCTTTGTAATGTGATCCTGCAATAATGAGAAAGGCTAAGTTATTCCTAGTATTGTTGTCTAAGTTTCCTTTCTTTTGTTTCCAATCTAGTAAGTACTTCTAAGTAAATAATCACCGAATGCTATAATTGCTTAATTGAAAAGGAAACACTGAATTATTTTCATTAACATGCTGTTTCTTGTCCTAGTCCTTCTTCTTATTCAGTCAGTTGTCCTGAAGTGAGCTTTGTTTAGCTGAAACCATCAAGAAAGCACATCATATTATTTTATCTGTGGATAATGCTGACATCTGATGTATTGCATGAACCATTTTTAGTCTTTTTGCCACCCTCTCCATATTTTATTAATTTTGTTGTAACTTTATGTTCTGTGATCATTTTGGCTGAATAGGCTTGTAATTAATTATATTAGGTTAATGTTACTTTAAATGAAATATATTTTTTCAGTGTATAAATTGGGAATACCTATATCTGAACCTAATAATTTCTGTTTCTTACTGAGAATTAGAATTAGAACTTTTTATTTATTATTATTAAAGACATACAATGGCAAGTAAATGAAATTATGTAGGCTGTATAGTGTGTATTGTATTACACACTGCATATTTATTCATAAAACTGGAAAGACTGAATGAATTAATCAGTTACAGGTGCAGTTGTTGAGGCAATCACATGGTATTTCAATGTGTTGCTACATGACCATGACTTGCAACTTCCCGCCATCTTGTCAATTAACTTCGTTTGTCAGAAGCTGGCTGTAAAGGTCACAAATGTTGATCATATGACCCTGTGACACTATAATTATCATAAATATGTGCTGGTTACCAAGCACCTGAACTGTGACCATGGGACACTGAAGGCAGGCTGCAAGTTCAAGGTCTGGCTGTAAATCTCTTTTTTCAGCATTGTCTTAACTTTGAACAGTTGCTGAACAAGCAGTTGTTAAGCTAGGGCTACTTGTATTTCTAACACGTAAATATTAATTTGTGTATTTTTTGCCTAGCAGAGAAGATGACAATTTTAATATTCATTATAACATTACAAAATGTTTGATTGAAAATATAAACCTCAGGTCACCCTTTTAATCTACCACTCCACTATGTTTATGTATATCAATTGTTGCTAAATATAAATCAAATCTTTTTTATCTATGATAATAAGGTTTTAGATATTCATGGTTTTGGAAAATGGGTTTGGGACATGTATAAAGTTTATTTTTTCAAGGTTTCATCTAGAATTTTCATATTTCTTGATGTTAGTCTGGAACAGACACAGCTGTACACATGTATAACATAAACCATAAAAATATAACATAAAACAGGACACAGCATGTCTAAACACAAAGTTTGTTAAAATATTCATATGTATACCAAATAATATTATATGTTAAAACTCCTTCTGAAGGTCATTTATAAAAAAACTGCATAACTACCCGGTCTCAGTGACTGTGATCCTTGAATAAAGTTTCAAATGTTGATCTTAAGGTTTAAGTAGGCACAAACTTACTATAGGTAAAGCACGTTCCTTTGGATTGTCTCCACCCTTTTTTAGTGGCAGATGAATTCAAACAACCTTATTTATCTTAAACATTTAACTAAAATTATCAACTACTTCAATTTTCCATAGATCTTAAAAATAGGAGCATTATTGTAAATAGGTATTTCAGTAAGAGTACTGTAAAGTCATGGCATCTTGACCATTTGGCTTGGATCAAGTATAGGGTAAGAATAATGTTTATTCTTTGCACAAAGTTATGGTAGAGATAGAGAGAAGTCCATTTTTCAATCCTAAATAAAAACCCTCTTCTTCAGATAAAATCACTCTCCTTACTGTTAATTTCTTATATTTTTGTTTCTGATTAGCACAATTACATATTGTGTGGTGATTGGCATCTTTTAAATTAGGTCCAAGATATATGTAATAACACTAGATAAACAACATGTAGAAAGCTGTAACCTTAACTATAATGCTCTTGCTGTATTCAGCTCATTAATCTTGAAATTGTCATAATGCTTTGAATGAATACTTAATACTTATTGCTCTTGAATGATGAAGTTCATAGAGCTACATTTTGCAAGCTGTAACCTCAGCTGAAATCCCTTAATCTCTCTCAGCTGCTGCAGTCTGTTCTGAATGTCCTTACAGATGAAAAGAAGTCTTTGATAGTTTTCTGTCAAGGTCCAAAGGATGCTGAATCAGGGCAGCATCTAGCCGTTAATGGGCAACTATGGATCACAGCAGTAGTGATACAGTTACTCTTTGTAAGTCCGCTCTGGAAATGTATTTATATAACTTCCTTCCATGTCCTTCTAAGAGTCTTTTGTTTTCAGAGGTAAAGCTAAGCTCATGAACTAAATTTGCTTAATGGAGAGGGAAGCGGACAATTTAACACTGGAATAAATGAAAAAGATATTTTCTCTTGATACCTTGCATTAATTATTTAATTTCATCTTAATTATTTTAAACTAAACACATCTGTTCTCAGGCATTGATCATACCAAAACATTTTGATAATGTTCCAATTAACCTTTACAGCTTTCTAAAATGTAGTTGCTCCTGATGCTTAGGGTGAGCGATGTAGATTAATAAAATAACTGAATAGAAAGGTAAAATAAACATGATGACACTTTAGGATGTTATTCTGTCCTTCATTCTCCTCACTGGCAACTGTGCATGTTCTCTGTATATTTAAGAGGAGAAGGAAATTCCTGTTGACTGTCAGATTTAAACTGTTCTTTGGTCCTTTAGTCCTGCATTCACAGTCGCGTTTGTTTTGAGCCAAGATGTCTTGGAACATTGTGATTGAAATGGCAAGAGGTAGAATTTTCCCTGTCCTTTAAATAAGTCCAACACTTTGCTTTTATGTAGAAGCTGTAGCCATGGCAACCAATGCATGGAAGCACAAAAAGGCTACTTTTAGAATTTTAAGCTGTCACCTCTTTCCAATAATAATTTTCTTGAATGAGTGTTGTGTATCTTAACTCATGCTCTTCATTACTCCTAAGGAAATGTAGAAATTAATAACTTTAAAGACTTTATGGATGTGATTTTCTCTTTAAAAGGTGATTATTCCGAGTTTTAAATTTGTAATAAAAAATCAGTTTAGGAAGAAAGATGGACATACTTATCTCGTTTTACAGGAAAGTGTTCTTGCAACGACTGAGGCAAATAACTTTTTAGATGCAGACGACTTTGTTTAGCCTTTGGGTGGAACAGCACTGCAGAATAAGCATAGATTGGGCAAAAAAAATCATGAGATAACTGCTTATGTACTTTATACAGTGAGGGGGAAAAATTATTTGATCCCTTGCTGATTTTGTATGTTTGCCCACTGACAAAGAAATAATCGGTCTATAATTTTAATGGTAGGTTTATTTTAATAGTGAGAGACAGAACAACAAAAAAATCCAGAAAAATGCATTTCAAAAAAGTTATAAATTGATTTGCATTTTAATGAGTGAAATAAGTATTTGACCCCTTCACAAAACATGACTTAGTGCTTGGTGGCAAAACCCTTGTTGGCAATCACAGAAGTCAGACGTTTCTTGTAGTTGGCCACCAGGTTTGCACACATCTCAGGAGGGATTTTGTCCCACTCTTCTTTGCAGATCCTCTCCAAGCCATTAAGGTTTCAAGGCTGATATTTGGCAGCTTGAACCTTCATTTCCCTCCACAGATATTCTATGGGATTAACATCTGGAGACTGGCTAGGCCACTCCAGGACCTTAATGTGCTTCTTCCTGAGCCACTCCTTTGTTACCTTGGCCGTGTGTTTTAGGTCATTGCCATGCTGGAATACCCATCCATGACCCATTTTCAATGCCCTGGCCGAGGGAAGGAGGTTCTCACCCAAGATTTGACAGTACATAGTCCCGTTTATCGTCCCTTTGATGCAGTGAAGTTATCCTGTCCCCTTAGCAGAAAAACACTCCCAAAGCATAATATTTCCACCTCCATGTTTGATGTTGGGGATGGTGTTCTTGGGGTCATAGCCAGCATTCCTCCTCCTCCAAATACAGCGAGTTGAGTTGATGCCAAAGAGCTCAATTTTGGTCTCATCTGACCTGAATCATACAGATGTTCATTGGCAAACTTAAGACGGTCCTGTACATGTGCTTTCTTGAGCAGGGGGACCTTGCAGGTACTACAGGATTTCAGTCCTTTACGGCGTAGTGTGTTACCAATTTTTTTTTGATGACTATGGTCCCAGCTGCCTTGAGATCACTGACAAGATCTGAGCTGATTCCTCACAGTTCTCACGATCATTGAAAATCCACGAGGTGAGATCTTGCATGGAGCCCCAGACCGAGGGAGATTGACAGTTATTTTGTGTTTCTTCCATTTGCGAATAATTGCACCAATTGTTGTCACCTTCTTACCAAGCTGCTTGGTGATAGTCTTTAACCCATTCCAGCCTTGTGTAGGTCTACAATCTTGTCACTGACACCCTTGGACAACTCTTTGGTCTTGGCCATGGTGGAGAGTTTGGAATCTGACTGATTGATTGCTTCTGTGGACAGGTGTCTTTTATACAGGTAACAAGCTTAGATTAGGAGCATTCCCTTTAAGAGAGTGCTCGTAATCTCAGCTCGTTACCTGTATAAAAGACACCTTGGAGCCAGAAATCTTGCTGATCGATAGGGGATCAGATACTTATTTCACTCATTAAAATGCAAATCAATTTATAACTTTTTTTGAAATCCATTAAAATTATAGACTGATCATTTCTTTGTCAGTGGGCAAATGTACAAAATTAGAAGGGGATCAAATACCTTTTTCCCTCACTGTACATTTCCCGTTTTGTCACATTAAAATTTGCATCTGTCTTGCATGCTCTGGTGTAGAATATCATTTACATAGTACATAGCATTTTATATCTCTTCTTTAGTATTCATTGTGTGATATTCATTATTAATATTTGTATTAATATATTCCAGCATGCCTTGCTCTTGTCTTTTGTGGTAAAGGCCTTATGCAGAATTAGAAAAGATATTGAACCAATATTAATTGATTAGGATTCTTTATCAATTGCTGTTGGAAAAGACTCCTGAAAATATCCTGGTCAGCCAAGAAAATAAACTAATGGATCATCAAAAGGATCATCCGGAATTCTCACTCAAGGCACAAATAACCAAACTCAAATTATCTTACTTCAGGCACATTATGTGAAGATTTAGCATTGAATGTGAAAGAAAAGAAAATAACAACTAGGAGCAAGATAGATGAGCTCATCTACAGAGATGATGAATGTGTTGTTGGAAGACGTGAAAGACCAGGTCAGGGACAGATTGCCATGGAGAAACTATAGGTGGTTTCTGAGTTGACACTGATTTGGTGTCAAAATCCACTTTGAAACTCTTTGTGGAAGGAAATAAAAAAGTATTAGGAGGATATACATATAGATTTTTAATCTCCAACTGTAGCAGCCCCAATAGCATGATCCCACCATTTCTTTGTGGTTGAAATCTTGGCATTGTAAGATAATATAGGGCAGGCATGTCAAACTCGCGACGTCATATGACATCACACAACGTATCGCGACTTTTTTCCCATTGCCGGCAATGCAGTGGGCGCGGTTTCAGTATGATGCATCCGGCCCCTGGGCCAGCTGTTTGACATACCTGATATAGGGTAAACAAGTCGCAAATATAGGAATTTAATTTATTGGAATCTGGCTCAGACATAAAATAACCATGTCTCCTAGATGCTAGAATCAAAGTACTTGTGTATTATTGCAAGCAATGAAATGGGAATACAGGTGGCTTGAGCAACTGTGGTACAACTGAATAGATGCAGTGAATCCTATTGAAACTAGTATGGACACCATTATAAAATCCATGGCAATAAAAGAAAAGAAAGGACATGGATTTTCTACTTAATTGCTTCTGTTAAAACTGCCCAAAGGAATTCTTCAGAGCTGAGCCAGGCTCCAGATTTCAAATAGTAAAGTCAGCCTTCTTACTCCAACTAGGCTTGTGAGATTTTGCAAATACAATTGCTTGAAAGCAAATATAACTCTTAGTTCTGTTCATGCAACTACCTGCCTGTTAGCGCCATTTCTAAGTTAACTTATAAGGCTGTCTAAACATTCTGCCCTGCCAGTGATTATTTAGATCATTAATATTTTTCTTTTCTTAATCAAATGCCTTGCTAACTTGGATTTGGATTCAGTTTTTTCATGAAGGCAGACTTGGCTTGTCTAATTGATCAACTAGATAAGAAAGAGACAGGGAAAGTGAAATACTGGTGATAGTCCTGGTTTTCTTGGTTAACCTATGCAAAGTACATTGTTTCAGTACTTAAGAGACCTGTTCTTTCCTGTCTCTGGGCTCAAGCTGAAAGTGATACTAAGAGATATATGCTTGTCCCATCACAAACAGTCCTTAAGGATTAATGGTGTCATGCAATGTTTTATCTTCAGTGTTATCTGAAATCTATATGAAGTTGCTATCAAGACTTACAGTTGCCTTGGGAGATAGTTGTCATTAACAGGCTGATGATGCTCAGTACTAATACTTTATTGCTTACTAATACTTTAGTACTCTTGAATGCATTTGGGTCAATATAAAAGGGGGGGAAAATGACATTGCCATAGGTGTATACTATAGGCCACCCAACCAAACAGAGGAAATAGATGAACTTTTTGCTAGTCAGCTAACTAAGGTATGTAGGAAGCACATCACAATAGTAATGGGGGACTTTAACTATCCTGACATCAACTGGGAGACAACCTCTGCACCAAGTGGAAGATCAAACAGATTCCTGACAAACCTAGCAGACAACTTTGTCTCCCAAAAAGTAGAGAAGGGAACTAGGGTATTAGCCATTTTGGATCTAATTCTCACTAACAGAGATGAAATGATAGAAGGTGTTGAAGCCAGAGGAACCTTGGGAGGAAGTGATCATGCAATATTGGAATTCAACATTATGGAAGCACAAGCAATAGAACACAGTCAAACTAGAGTCTTGGACTTCAAGAGAGCTAATTTCAATACATTTAGAGAGGGTTTGGGAAGGATTCCATGGATGAGAATCCTCCAGGGGAAAACAACTCAAGATACTTGGGAAATTTTGAAAAGTGAGATAATAAAAGGCCAGTCTAGCACAATACCAACAACGAGGAAAAATAACAGCTCTCAAAAGAAACCAGCATGGCTGCACAAAGAACTCTCTGATAAATTGAAAGATAAAAAGGACAAATATAGAAAGTGGAAAGAGGGACACATAACTAAGTCAGAATATCAGCAAATAGCCCGAGCCT